GCTCAGAACAGTAGATCAGTAGAGAACAGAATTGGGATTAAATTAATCGCTGGAAGTAGTTAGCATTGCATAATTTAAGTACTACTACTAAATCCTAACCAAATTGCAAATTTCGACACGTTATAATGCCGTTTCCTGACCATCAGATTTCTGTCAAATCTTCCCCCCAAAGTCCAGGAAATGGCATTTCAGAGACTCTAAATTCAAAAATTTTCCTGGGGGGCATGCCCCCGGACCCCCCTAGACAAACCTCGCACCTGCGGCACTCGGCTCGTGCCTTCGGCCCTCGTTTATCAAGTGTAACATTACAGGGGCGCATATTGGTTGACAGCCCACTGGCCCCTCCAGAAAAATAGTACCCAGCACGCCACTGACTAGTACAAGCTCCTCCAGAAAGCTCCTGGTAATTCATTTACATGATTTCCAAAGATCTGCTGAGCATGTCAAGTCCTTGGCATCATCATGCCGTCGTATTCTAGCGATGTTGCGATAAGTTAGAAATTTAACAACCTAATACTTAGCTATGTACTTAGTATTAATTTTAGTATGTATTGCAGTCTTCAACAGATAAAGAGCCTTTTCTGTCGCTAGTGTATTCTTATATCTCTTTATTCGTTTTGTTTTCAAGGTTGTATTTTTGTGGACGCTTATAGGGATGATTGGCGACGTTGTGGTCACAACAGGTATCATATACTATGCAAAAATCTAACTGAACTAAACTATTCAGTAACTATAACAAGTCTCCCTGTGTATGAAAGGAATCCAGTCTAATTTACGTTTTGGAATCCGGAATCCAGAATGGCCAGAGCATGGAATCCTAATTTTTTTTAGGACGGTCGAGAATTTCTTAGGACGGTCGAGATTTCTCTATAGGGCGTTTGAGATCGGAAAATTTTCTAGCACGGTCGAGATTGAGATCTCGTATACCTTCAATAACATTTTGTGTTTTTTTCTACAGATATGAAGGAGTTGCCGACAAAACCCCATGCATGCACGCACATGCATGACAAAAACCCGCCGACGAAAACCTGATATTAGTGAATCCAAACGAAAAACCCACATTTTAATCCCAAGTGAAGTATAAAAAAAATGAGAAAAGTTCTTTTAATTGCTTGATATCACATGACTCGCGCTTCGTGCTCAAAACGTCGAGATTTCAATGGGTTTGAGTTCTAGTCAACTTTGGCGTGCTATCACACGCCTATAGTTAGGCCAAATCTAGCCTGCGAACAGGCTCTCAAGCTGAATTGAGAGCCTGCATCGATGACTAATGAATTTGAATATCTGCCCCGTAACGTTCGTTTTTGTGTTCATCAATGTCTATCCTTATATGGTGCTGTTTACAACTTTCGTGCAAACTAAATTTAGACCGTGCAAACTAAATTTAGACTGTACAGTTTATACTGTTTTTTGAAATATAAGATATTCTCATATTCAAGCAAAAGTTCAAATGTTTTAAATACTGTTTTCTCAAAACAGAACATTTCGTGCTTTGAGATAAGACGGCCAAGACCAATATAATCAGTTAATGTGTTTTTTATGCATAATGCTGCAGTTGACATATATAGAGCTCAGCGGAAACATATAAATTATAGCATCTGACCAATGAGAATTTCGCGTCACGATTTGAGACGCAGATATTCAAATTCATTAGTCATCGATGCAGGCTCTCAATTCAGCTTGAGAGCCTGTTCGCAGGCTAGGCCAAATCATACAGATTTAGCTGCCAAATATCAAATGATACATTTTTGTATATAGCTATATTATTGCGATCAACCAGGAATTTTTGAGGTTTAGAAATAGTAACTATTCCTCTTTTATCCACCAATAAATGACAAACCTAAAATTTCTAATTCAAAACCAGTATAGTTTCATATTGATAATGACATGCGGTTTGCAAGAAATTTCGCTTTTAAACCAGTTAACTTGCATATCAAACGGTATGCATATCGAATGCATATTCGAGATGGCACGGAATGCACGCTGCTTTCGATAAAATTAAGTCGATTTCTTTCGAAAACGAAGCAAGATACAAAATAATTGTAAAAGAAATTTATATATTATTTAAATGTTCTTTCAAATAAGACAAACTTAATTTAAATTGTCGTATATCCTAATAGACCTTTCCCCTTATAACCAAAATTTTGATCTAAGCAAGTCTATACAAATATTTCATCACAGCTTGAAAGAGCATCACAAAATTAGTAATATTCCAAGGTTTCGTTGCGAAATGTTGTAAAATGAGGAAAATAGAGCCTTGCGAAATTTGCAATTTTCAATCATTTTGCATTACAAACGGAAAATTGCAGCCCCAACACCCGAATCGGATGTCAATTTCCCGTTTGCAATATACAAAATGACTGAAAAACGGCAAACTTCGCAAGGCTAAATTATCCGCATTTTACAAGATTTTGCAACAAAACTTTGGAATATTACTAATTTTATGATGCTCTTTCAAGCTGTGATGAAATTTTTGTCTACATCGAAATTTTAGTTATAA